ACGTCGTAATAAGTTTTTTATGACACTTTTAATATAAAGCGTCTCATTATCAACTTTATAGGACAATATTTGAAAAATTGTCCTATAAAAACAAATGTCCTATAAAAAATTGAGTTTATAGGACACTTTTGAGAAAGTGTCCTATAAAGTTGCTAATGTGACACTTTGTATTAAAAATGTTCTAAAAAACTTGTTAAGACGCCTAAAAGCGTCATATAAACTTATTACGACACCTTTAGATAGGACGCTTTATATTTTGGTCCTATAAATTAAGTCCTATAAAACGATCTATTGGGACGCTTAAAGATTGAGAGTGTCCTATAAACCCAATTTTGTTGTAGTCCCTCTACGATAAAAATAATTAATCAATCTCTCATAATTACAAAAAAATGAACAAAATGTAAAATTATGATTGGTTGAATTTAGTTTGTACGGTTTATACAAATCACGTGAGACCAATCTGTTTTCGTGAGACCCGTGAGACCACTTTTTTAATTTGGAACTTCACAGCAAAACTCTATGAAKGTAACCTTCACAGTGTTTTTACTGTGAAGTTTCGGTTTTTTTTTACCTTCACAACGTTTTGTTGTGAAATTTCAAGTGTAAAAGTGGTCTCACGAATCTTCATGAAAACAGGTTGGTCTCACGTGAACCTAACCCTATATACCTTTATTTTACGAGAACGCAGGAATACCCTTTTACAATAGACAGTCACATGTGATATTATTATTCCATCACATACGATACACATGTGATACTAAATCAGAGACGCGGGCGATTTTCGGCGTGATCTTAATTGCGGGCCAAGTTTCCCTCACATGTATCACATATAATAAGGGTGTTGTAGATATGATACTATAATCTATAAAGACCATCACATATGATGTTAAATCATAGACGCAGACAACTTTTGGCGCGGCCTAAGTCGTAGAACATATGTCTTCCGCATACCAACCACGTCTCCTCACGCGTATTATCACATTTGATAAGGGTGTTATCACGTTCTTGTAAAATGGAGGTGTTCTCGTTTATATATATATATATATATATATATATATATATATATATATATATAACTCATATATTAATGACAAAGGTAATTTGTCATTTATATAACTCCCTAATCATTAATTGGGAGTTGCAAAACTAAAAATCTCAATAATTGATGATTATGTAATATTGATATTTTTTTATACGTGTTCATGTTTTTTATTTCGATTTATTCTATCCATAATGATATTGATTTTGTAATTGTTAAAAAAAATTTGATTGTAAAGATTTCGATATCGTCCGAGTAATATGGATAAACCTATTGGAAAACAGATCGACAACAATGAGAATGAAAAGGTTAAACTCGTCTACGATTACAATCGGAATTCGAATTCATATGTAATTGTTAAAGAATTGTTCACAAGTGTTCATATTGTATTCATATGTACACTAGCTACATTTCTCAACATTGGCTTGCTTTTGAATGTGTTCAAAATGAAGGAACTATTGTTCACAAACTGTTCATATTGTGTTCATATGTACACTAGTTGCATATCTCAACATTGGCTTGCTTCTGAATGTGTTCATAATGAATGAACTATTGTTCACAAACTGTTTATATTGTGTTCATACCTGTTTTTTTATTTATTTACTTTCGTGTAACAAATATTCTTATTATATTCATATTGTGTTAATAAATGTATACAGTCCAAGTTCATATATATGTCAATTTTTGTTCGTATTTGACACAATGGTTCATATATATATATATATAGAGGGTGGTTCAAATCCTAACCCAATATTTTGTACAAACTATGCTAACCGATCTTGATCGTTCATTTTTTCATCAAACGGTTATTATTAAATGAGATTAAATAAACAATAAATTAATTAATGTATTAATTGATATGGGTATGAACAAATGTTCAAAGGGTAAATTGGTCAAAAATTTTACATTTCATCGCGATCCTATCCTGTACACCCGATTCCGTAACTTCCATCCATATACGAAACCGCCGATCTAAACTATCAATAGGGTAAATCAAGTGCGTGAAATCAGGTTCACAATATTCATCCACAATATGGATGATTTGGGCGAAATGCAAGCAGCCGGAATTAGAAGGAGAGGTAAGTTTTATAAGAACTAGGGATTGGATTTTTAGTTATCATAACTGAAATCTGCACTCATTTGAGTTAAATCTTACCTGCAGTACGCAAACCGAGCGAACGAATAATGATGAAATACGCATTCTCGAATTTCAAGAACACAGTCGATACTCCTGTCGACGTTGATGAGGAACCCATGAACACAGAAGCGACTGGTCGACTAGTTAGGAAGCAAGCAGTGATGAAAGTCATAAATCCCTCAACATTAGTTGATGAACCACAGAAAGGTAAATAAATGTAATGTTGAATGTGTGTGTATCTGTGTTCATATGGTTCTTACATTAACAAAAACAAATTAATAAAAATAATGAGATTTTTTTATTTTGTAACTCTCAATTAATGATATGGGAGTTACATAAAAAAGAAAATTACCTAAATACTCTTTTCTCCTTTGTTCACATATGTTCTTTGAAATTATAAATTTAAAATTTTAATTTTTTATCATGATTAATCACAACCCTTTATTGTAAGAATCAATGGCCAAGATTGGTTAATAAAGTTAACACAAAAATCTTGGTTAGTATTTGAACCCAACTCTCTCTCTCTCTCTCTCTCTATATATATATATATATATGAATATTTATGAATATTTACATTTGTTCAGATGTTTAGTGCGTCTTTCTATATAAAGATGGTAATTGACATCAACATCTTAAAACTCAAGGTATAAAAGTATAAAAACAAAATTGAAACAACTTTTTTATTCTCTCAAAACGGTACAAAATCATAAAAATAAAATTTTAAAAAACAAACGATATGAAACAGAATTGATGTTAAATAATAGCTAGATAGGTACTCGTACAATACAGTGAGATATATCTAGATTTTGATGTTTAGCTTTATTTTTTTGGTCTTTGTCGATGTTATAATATGGATTTATATAGTTTTGAACAATCAATAATGTTTTTTCTAAATATAAATTTGAAGATATGATAAAAATTAAAAAAAATATATAAAAGTTCTATTTTTTGTATAATTTCTTTAATTCAATTTTTTTATTTATAGTTTAATTTATAATTTGTTGTTGGTTTAATAATATAATTTTTATAAAGATAATAACTAAGTATTTTATTAGAATTTAATAATTATCCTAATTATATTTTAAATATAGTTAAAGTGAGAATTTTATCATGTATTTGATTATATTTATCTACAGTTAGTTACACAAATTCAAATATGAAGTTTAATAAATACACAGTTTATTTGTAATTTTAAATTCTAATACATCAATAAGAAGTATTTCATATATAAAAAATAATTTTAAAAAATCTTTATTAGATGCTTTATAATATAGTATATATATATATATATATATATATATATATATATATATTAACGAGTTTCATTATACGTTTTACACTCTGAATCTATTTTATTTTATTTATTTTACAAAATAGAAAGTAAACGTAACCATTAACGGAATCTGACGTTTTTATTTGTTTAAAAACGTGAAAAGTCTAAAAAACTCAATGGACTTTAGTGTTTGGAAATATTAAGTCATTAGACAATTTTTTGGAACAAATAAGTTATTGGACATTTCAAAATCTGTTAAATAACTCCTTAAACTTTTTAAAACTGTTAGATACATTCTTATAACCTATACAACTTGTTAATATGATAAAATAATGAAAAAAATTAGAAAAAATCCAATAAACTTTTATATTTTAAACGATTAAATCCCTAAACATTTTTTTAAACCAAAAATATACTTACATTTACAAAAGAATACTTACAGTTAAAAAATTTATTAATAAAATTTATTTTAATTAAAAATAAAAAAATATCCTTT